TTAAAAAAAAAGTTGAAGTCTCTAGCTCTTATATCGTCTGAGATCGACGCGTTCATACATACGGACGGACAGGGTATAATGAGTGTAGGCCCCCTTACCTAACCTAATGACGCGCAGTATATATATATATATCAGCGTAAGGTTGACAAGATTTTTTATATACACAAAATAAAAAGGAAGTGCATTTGTTTATCTAGTCCAGCATTGGGTAACATATGCTAGAATAGCGTCTGCATTGATAGACACATTCGAAAGTTTAGAAGGAGAAAATTAAAAACACAGAGAACAAGTTAGCATACCATCGGTAGGCATGAAATCCTCGTAGATGAACGATCCAGTTTTACGGACACGCGATTCCGGCGAGTAAACGCTGCTACGGCTACCGATTTTGCGAAATAGACGCTGACTTCCGCCGCCAGCAGATGTTGGATAGTAGATATAAATGTTGTGATCTTCGGCCGAAACGGGCTTTTCAACGAATGGTTTATTGAATGTAATGCCATTGACCTCCACATGATCTTCGGACTCAATAAGTTCATGATCTAAAAATTGATCTACATTGAAACGAACTGTTGAGTTGGATAATCTATCTATCACTTACGTTTCGGATCAGGAGAATCTCGATCGAGCACAGCATAACGCGGTATCTCAATGCCCTCTTTCTCCAGTATGGCATAAACCCGTCGTCTGTCCTGTATATCGTATTGCATATGCAAATTGTTGAGCACAAAGGGATTGCGTAGCTGGGCATACTCGATAGCCTTCTCCAGTGGAAAGCCCTTGGAATGAAAAGACACAAGACAATCGCATATGGGCCAATTTTGCACAGGCTCTCTCAATATCACATTTTCCTCAAAGGTAACAAGCTTGATGAACTCAAACTCGCCGAGTCGTGTCAAGATTTCCTTCATTGGCTTCGATTGTGTTTTCTTGGCCATTGCACAGATTCCCACAACAACCTGTTTACTATTACTGGAAGACGTGCTTGTATCAGAGTCCATGCCGTCATTGCTGTCACCGAAATCCGTGTCGCCCTATAGAAGTGAAAAAATATAGACTTTAACTATTGAAAATTGGTCCAACATATATAATACTAAAACGAATTCAACATTTCTCGAACAAAAATTTGTTAGTTTAGTTTATTATAATTTTTTAGATTCTGTTGTTTGAAATCAAACTTATTTTTAATGGTGATCATAATGATATCTATGTATATAAAACAAAGTCGTGTTTGTTACAACACTTATAACTGCTGGACCAATTTTCATGGTTTTTGATTTGTTGGATTTGTCTCCGCCCCGAATTGTATATCTTTAAAATACTGAAAAATTGACGAATATTTGAAAAATCCGTTATGCCTAAAAGTTTTTTAAATTCGGAGCTGTCTTTGAACTGTCATTTAGAATTTTCTCAGTAGGCGTCATACCAGTGACAGTTTTCGGTCATGCTCTCATGTAAAACAATTATTCATGCACATTTTTTTAAACCCAGGTGCAAGGTAGTATGAACAGTTTGGTAGAAAATTAAAAGAGCTGGAAAAAGCTATATTTGATCTAAACATCAGAATGGATCAACTGTTCAAATTAATGCAGGATTCGATTGAGGCAAACAGAGCCTTTCGTGACCTGGCTCAAAAGCTGATTTCAAAATGACAAACAAATAAAAATTAGATTGTGGAATGTAAGGGGTTTAGCGAAGAGCATTGAAGAGCTAAAACTTTTCCTAAGTGCCAATACAATAGATATTATGCTCATTACTGAGACGCACATGCGACCCGGCTTTTTAGTATTCCTGCCAGGTTATGACCAATATTATGCTGCTCACCCCAGTCGAACAGCGAAAAGCAGATCTGATCTATTCATTCGATCGATCATTTCTCATGTGGAGAACGAATCTATCTCAAAACCGAACATACAAGCTGCCAGT